GTGAGGTGGGTCTGGCAGGTGTGCAGAAAAGGTGATTCTGGGCTCCTGTCATGAGCGGTCAGCACGTCTTCTGCTTTTCTCCATGCTGGGCCCAGCACTGGAAATAACCTGCTAGACAAAGACCTCTGAACCCCAGGACAACCTGCCTTCCACACACCCTTTTTTACCCCCAGATGAAGGGAGAACCTCCAAATCATGGGGAGTTGGTCAGCATGTACGCTTCAAAGGAATGGAGAAAGGAGAAGCTCCGGAACTCTAGAATTCAAACAAACAAACAAACACCTGCCATGCAACACCCCAGACTTAACAACTGTTGATAAGAACTTAGAAGATAAAATATACCATCAGAGTCCTGGGAGGGACCTTGGAGATCTTCAACCATCTGCCCAAGCTAGAAACCCTATACCATTTCAGACAAATGGCCGTCCAATCTCTTCTGAAAATTTCCAGTGATGGAACAACCACAACGTGGGAAATTGTCAAAGAGACATGCAACCTAGAGGTGAGAAGACATTTCCTGACAGCGAGCACAATTGACCAATGGAATGGCTTCTTTCCAGAAGTTGTGGGTGCTCCATCACTGGAAGCTTTTAAGAAGAGATTGGACACCATTTGCCTGGAATGGTCTGGGTCTCCTGCCCCAAAAAAGGAGGGGTTAGACTAGAAGACCTCCACAGCCCCTTCCAACTTTGTTATTCTGTATCCTGTAACACAGGGGTTCCCAACCGGGAGTGGGAGATGATATTCCAGAGGGTGCAAAACTTGGGTTTAGAAGTTTCAAAATTACAGTGTATATGCATAATTTGTTATTTTGAACTTTTGTAAGGGGTGTGAGACTATATCAGAAGTGTTCTAGGGGTGCGGGGTATAGAAAAGGTTGGGAGCCGCTGCTGTAATAGATGCCTTGCGTGCAGTCCCAAAACAACTGGAGCATCCCTTGAACACCATCAGCATTGACAAAATCATCATGAGTCAATTGCAAAAGGCAGCTTGACTTGGAACAGCTCACATCCTGCGACAAGTCTTTAACACCATCAAACCACAACATCTGACCTTCCCAGGACTTTGGGAAGGACTCAGTAGGTGGATAAAAATGTCAAATACAATCCAAACATCTGGCTGACTGTGCAATGAACCATAATAATAATATTAATAATATTAATAATAATAATAGTAAAGTTGGAAGGGACCTTGGAGGTCATCTAGTCCAACCCCCTGCTCAGGCAGGAAACCCTACACCATTTCAGACAAATGGCTGTCCAGTCTCTTCTTAAAAACTTCCAGTGTTGGAGCGTTTACTGCTTCTGGAGGCAGGCTGTTCCACTGGTTAATTGTTCTCACTGTCAGGAAGTTTCTCCTTAGTTCTAGGTTGCTTCTCTCCTTGATTAGTTTCCACCCGTTGCTTCTTGTCCTGCCTTCAGGTGCTTTGGAAAATAGCTTATTCCCTCTTCTTTATGGCAGCCCCTGAGATATTGGAATACTGCTATCATGTCCCCCCTTGTCCTTCTCTTCGTTAAACTAGACATACCCAATTCTAGCAACCGTTCCGTATATGTTTTAGCCTCCAGTCCCCTAATCATCTTTGTTGCTCTTCTCTGTACTCTTTCTAGAGTCTCAACATCTTTTTTACATTGTGGCGACCAAAACTGGATGCAGTATTCCAAGTGTGGCCTTACCAAGGCCTTGTAGAGTGGCATTAATACTTCACGTGATCTTGATTCTATCCCTCTGTTAATTGATTGGAAAAGATTTGTTATTCTTCTTTTAAAAAAACCCAATATTTTAAGGACTAACCAGTCTAAGCAGTTAGATTTTGGGAGAACACGTCACTGCAGATCGTGTCTACTTATTGTCCACTCTATGAAATGCACGTGATGCAGAATATGGACCATGTGCTAATAAACTCCCCTCACAACCTTTTATTTATTGACTGGCCTGGGGTGTCTGTGAAGCAGCTGTTCCTGGGCTTCATTCTGGCAGACGAGCGCACTCAGTGTGGAAGAGGCCCTTGAGAGTTGGAGGCAGTTCTTCTCTCTCTTTCTCTAGCAAGGAGGAGTCGGGGTCTCCCCCTGCCTGCCTTCGATCAGCCCCAGGCCTGATTGTGGACACTGCGCCCCAAGTGGCTTGCAACCTCCCCCAGCTAGAAGTCTGGGAGGCAGCGGTGCCCTCCGCTCCAGGTAACCCTACCTGCGAGAGAACTTACCCTTTCTCCAGGATCTCCCATTGGGCCCGCTGGCCCCGTTGTTCCCGGGGGACCTGGAAGCCCCTGAAGGAGGAGAAAAAGAAGGAAAGTCAGCCCCAAGGGGAAAAGGAAGTTCTCGCACTCCTCACAGAGGGGAGAAGCCCGAGGGGGACCTGATCCCTTCTGCACGGCCGAATTGGCCTGGGAGCCAACCACGGGGCACCACGTTCACCCCGGGAAGCAGCTGCAGGCGAGAGCAGCGGCCTTCTGCAGACTTGCTCCCTCCACAGCGGAGAAGACCCATCCACATCCCCGGGGCCAAAAGGGAAAGAGAGGCAAGTAACTTACGGCTGGGCCTTCTGGGCCAGCTGGTCCTTCGAGAAGCATGCCCTGAAAATGAAGGAGGAGGAGATGAAAAGCACAGAACAGCACCGGACACTCCCCATTACAAACATCTACCCCCATTGTCTTGTGCACGGCTGCAAGGAGAACCCCCGAGTCCCTCCAGAAAATCCCACTCGGCCTTAAACACTCCCACCACCCCCACTGCTAGCACTGCTTACAAGCATCCTGGGCACGAGAGCAGAAAAACTAAGGGAGGAAGGGAAAGACAAGCTTCGCTAAGTTCAGATTTTGTGTGCTTCCCCCCTCCAGGTTTTGTGGATTTGGGTCCTATCGGGAGCAGGTGAACCGAGTTGACATCATGGACTCTCCAGTAATCTTTGATCAGAAATTCCTGACCGCTCACCAGGAAGGCCCGACCCTTCCCCCCCCCCCCCAGATCTGCCCAGATGCCTTTTCAGGCTTCATCTCTGTGAATTCCAGCAATGGTGAGAAATTACAGTTTTGGCTTCTGCATTGCAGGATAGACGCTGAACCGCAGGAGATGCCGGGGTCATGATTCCTACCCCCAAATTGCTGAGGAAGTGCTCCTGTTTATTACCTGCATATCCACTCCAGTTTGGAAAGACAATCCAGGACGTCTCTCCCCCCCATCTCAGTCCCTGGCTACTCAGAGAGTAGCTGATGAATCCCAAGACACGGACAGACCACCTTTGGGGCACCCAAGAAGCCTTGAAGGTGCCCCCAGGAAAGGCCTCTCCCCCAAATGGCGAGGCTGTTGGGAGCCTCTTCATTTGGCAATCTTCACACCCAAAGGACTGGGGGGGGCCCCTCTCCCCCTTTCATTTCCCAAGAACCAGCTGGGATTCTGAGGGTCCTAGGGCTGTCCAGGAGCTGTTGCCTTGCAAGAAAGGGGGAAGGTCAACAAGAACCGAATAGAACCGAGCTGCTTCGGAAGAACACCTGGGTGCTCTCCAAACTGAGGCCAGATTCCTATTTCCAAAAAAGGCCTCCAACGTTCTTGGGAATAGAAATGGGGAAGAGGGCTACCTTCCCATTTATTTGTGGTTTAGCACCCAAAGCGTCTCAAGTGAAGCAGCCCGGCAGGGCAGGGAGCCAGGCAGAGGTCCAAGGAGAGAAGGCAAAGGGAACCTGGCTGCGCCCTCCAAACACAGGAAATCCAGATCTGATACCTGAAGAACACTAAGTAGCCATAAATCAAACCAGGAATGAGCACCCCCTGACAGCTCCCAAACTGGCACCCTCAGGAGCCTTGAACTGTAAGACAACAACTGATGCCACCCAAATTTCCACCTCGCCCTTCACAAACACAACTAGTGGGCACACCTCATCTTTGCCCTTTGCGGGACAAAGAGCTTTACATAGGACCAACTGTGGGGGAGAGCCTGGTCCGCTCTGGCTTACAGCGCTACCAAGGCGAGAGAGAAGCGGTGAAGGTGGCCGCCGTGCTCCTCGTGGTCCTTTCCCGGAAAGGGCTGGTTTGCTGATGGCAGCAGCGCCAAAGAGGCGATGGGGAGCCATGCTTGCCGCTCTCTGGACACAGAGGGGGTTGCCTTTTGAGGGCAGGTCGTCCTCCTCCTCCTCCTCCTCCTCCTCCTCCTCCTCTCCTCCTCCTCCTCTCCTCCTCCAACTACCCGTAATAGCAGGCCTTTGGGGGAGAGGCCAAAGGAGCCAGCCTTTGCCCTGGTTCACTTTCTGTCAGAGCTTCGCAAGGAGCTGCCAAGTGTTTGAGGCTGCTGAGGAGCATCTTGTTGTCTGGGCAAAGGTTGGCAGGAGAAGCTTAGGCACCTCACAGTCCTCTCCACAGTAGTGGAGGAAAGCTCGGGGGGTCTTGGGGGAGGTTTTTCCCTCCATCTCCCCCCACTCGTAAATCTTGTTCTCCCACAAGAAGGCCGAGGGCAGAGGGAGAGGCCATTTCCAGAAATCACCAACTGCCAGGGAGCTTCTGGTTTCACTTTAGCTGCTTCCTGAATTTCAGGTTGGCACAATATCATGAATCATCAGTGAACCGAAAGAGGCCGGATTAGGATGAATGAGCATCAAACCCGGGCAAAGACAGTCGGTTGTGGGAACGCAGCTGCTCAGGCACTTCCTGGCCTGGGAATGCAGCAGCTCCCCTGCCCGGGTGCCCAATTGGGGACAGGTTTTGGGACTGGGGAGGACAATGCAAAGGCGAAGCCAGACCCACAGCAAGGGGGGGGGGGCATGGAGACAAAGGAGGCAATTGGAGCTGTGGCATTTCCTTGACAGAGTCTGGCCACTCACCCTCTCTCAGCCCAGCCTACCTTGCCAGGTTATTGTTGGGAAAAATAGGAGGAGGGAGCGCTATCCATGGTGTCTTATGCTCTGGAGAAAAGGCACTGGACAGCCCAACAAAGTGGGTAGGCTGTGATATGTGCATCCAGGGACAAATTATGCTTCATCTCCTGGATGGAGGAATCCAGGAGGATCTGGCAGAAGGGGCTTGCCGAGGGTCCCACCACTGACAAAATTTCATCTCCAGAGACTCTGGATTTGAACCTTCTCAGTGACGACCACTTTAACCTGGATTACTCTATTTTTGAAACGCTCTTCAGAACGAGGCTCTTCCAAAAGGCACTGGGGGACAAATCATGAGGAACGGCGTAACCTCGGATTGATTGTTGATAAGTCTATCATTTGATTTTTGGGTTTAATCTTATTATATTAATACTGCAGCCGTTCAAATTCTCTGGATGTACGGCATCACGGGAGTTGTAGAAATGAATGAACAGTCAATCCAAAAAATGTGTTTCTGCTTGCTCTGGCATGAAGACGGCGGGAAAAGCTCTCAGCTGCCAACTTTCTGGCATAACCAAGTGGGCAGCACATTGCGGGACTCCTGGAAAGGTGAGGATTTTGTTTGCCTTGTCCAACCCCCCCCCCCCAAACAGTAACAAAAACAGCAGAAAAGAAAAGCTCGGAAGCCAAGGGAGGGTTTGGGAACCGAATGATCTTAAAATCATTAAGACTGGAGTGAGTGGACTCGTGCTCAATGATTTTTAAGGCACCACAAACCTTTTTTCTATCTGCACAAAAGATCAAATGCTTTCTATCAAAGTCTAAACATTTGCATGAGAAAAAAACAATCCAGTGGTTATCTGGATTTCTACAGCAGAGATCGATCAGGCCTTCAGATGTGCTTCATTCGGCTAAAACAGAGGGTAAAAGAAATTGCTGAAAAAGAATGTTAGAGAGTCCAAAGTGATCTGCCCCTTTAACAAACACAGCAACACATGAGGCTCACAAAAACATGTTCATCCTACCAAAGAGATGGGAAAGGTGGGATAAAGCTTGTACTGAAGCACACCTGGAATTCCTCAGCGTCTCTGGGTGACAGCAGAGGCCCAGCGGGGAGAGCAACGTCTTGTCTCAGCCCTGGACCCAAACTGGCTCTCCAGAGTCTGCTGGACTAGGATGCCATCATCCCAGGTGAGCTGGGATCAGTGGCAATTGTATGGGGCTGCACAATGAAGCAGGACAGAAGGAGAGGACAGCCCTTCCTGCACCTGCCAGCTGTCAATCAGGCGGCTTTTGGGCAAGGGCTGAATGTCCTTCTGGAATCGTGCTCCCCCCGTGTCTAAAAGGAGCCCAACTGACTCCCTTTGAACACACCCACACAAAGCGCCTGGGCAAAAGGGAAGGAAACATTGGCAGATGGCAGCTAAGGGGCACATCTTCCACTGGATGGTGACATTTAATGGGGGGAGCACATGCAGGAGACCCCAGCAATCCCTGTCCTCTGGGCTCCGTGCACCGCACGCAAGGACGGGCCTTCCGAATGTGTCTCGCCTGAGGCAGGGCAGGGATCGGGAAGGGGAGCAGCACGTTTAATGCTGATCCAGCTTGTGTTGGTTCAGTGACCAGCGGGGCCTTTCTCTCAATCCTGAAAGAGCCTCAAGGCGGAGCATTACTGAGAGATGCCATGCGAAGCTCCGGGCTCTGTGCCGCTGGCCCAGAATAAGGCATTGTGGTGCTGAACAACAGCCACAATCCTAAGCCCATCCAACGCCACTGGCGTTACGCATCTTCTCAGCAGTCAGTGCGGGAGAGTCCTGGGCTGAGAGCAGGCTGAGGGTGGCCAGGCCTTCTCTCCTCTCTGACCATCTCAGCAGCAGCTCACTTCCACATTCGAACTCCCACTGGATCTTGAGCAAGGAGAGCGTGGTGGGCCTTCCAGTGAGGGCTCGACACACAGCAGCCGATCTCTCACGCGGCAGAAACCGCCTTTTTCAGAGCATTCCACGTAAGGTGTTCCACGCCAGAGACCCACTATTCCCGCAAGAATCCCAGCCTCCACATAAGAGCACACCACCTTTCAAGTATACATATCTCTTCCCCAAGCTCTCTCAGTGAAGCGGCTGATGTGATGGGCCGTTGCCTTGAAGCCGTGAGGGTCTGGATGGGGGTTAACAGACTCAGGCTCAATCCTGACAAGACCGAGTGGCTTTGGATGTTGCCTCCCAAGGATCATGTTAACTGTCCAGTGTTGACTCTAGCAGGGGAAAATATACCCCCTTTGGAGCGGGTTCGCAACTTGGGTGTCCTCCTTGATCCACAACTGAAATTGGAACATCATTTGACGGCTGTGGCTGGGAGGACCTTTGCACAAGTTCGTCTGTTGCACCAGTTGCGACCCTACCTGGACCGGGAGGCTCTCCTTACAGTCACTCATGCCCTTGTCACCTCACGTCTGGACTACTGCAACGCGCTCTACATGGGGCTACCCTTGAAAAGTATTCGGAGACTACAGTTGGCCAGAATGCACCCGTGCGAGTGATAGAGGATGTTCCTCGGTACACCCACATTACACCTATCCTCCGCGAGCTGCACTGGTTGCCTATTGGTCTCCGGGTCCAATTCAAGGTGTTGGTTATTACCTTTAAAGCTCTATATGGCTCAGGGCCAGGCTATTTGCGAGACCGCCTACTACCTCATAGTTCCCTTCGTCCGGTTAGATCCCACAGGCTGGGCCTCCTTCAGGTCCCGTCAGCCAAGCAGTGCCATTTGGCGGGGCCGCGGAGGAGGGCCTTCTCTGTGATGGTGCCCACGCTTTGGAATCAGCTCCCCCCGGAGATTAGGACTGCTCCCACCCTGTTGGTTTTCCGCAAGCTGCTTAAGACCTGGCTTTTCCGGCAGGCCTGGGGTTTATAAAACCTGACCCCTGGATGAATGTTACTGTATTGTTTGTCTTGTTAAGTTATATTGTCTTTTTTATTGTTAGCCGCCCGGAGTCCTGCGGGAGTGGGGCGGTTTATAAATTTTAATAAATAAATAAACAAATAAATAAATAAATAAGTGATCCAGGACTTGGGACTTCCACCTGCCATTCCAGGCGTCTCTCCGTTACCCCATCAGGAAGCAACGGGATGCAAGGCCAAGTTGTGCAGCAATGATTAAGGTTCACTGCCACACACTAAATACCCCAGATCTGGTCTCTGGAAATCCCCACAGAAAAGCTGGACCCCTCAGCTATGAGGTTCTGCAGCACACCTTTACCTGCAAAGGAAGGGCACTTACTGGCTCTATGGTCGCTGGCTCTCCCTTCTGCCCCTTTTCGCCTCGAGGCCCACTGATCTGCACCAGAGGAAGAGAAAGCAATTCAAGAAAGTGGGATACAAAATGCAAGCAGGGAGACCTGGGCCAAAACCCAGAAATAAACGCAAAGCCGATTGCAGGCTGATTGATTTTGGATGCTTAGTGAATGCACTATTCAACTTGCAACAATCTTGGGACAGTCTCCTTAACAAGAGAGTAGCAGGTTTCCTGGGCCACCTCACCACCCTGAATTCATCCCACCCAAATCCTGGTGGCTTCTCTTACTTTGACCCAAATGCGCTCTGTTCTGCAAGTGCTAATGTGGGCAAATTGCAATTGCAACCTGAACTTGGAACCTGCTCTTTCAAAGAAAGCTTTTAAATAATGCCAAATCACAATTCCAAGTACCGGGACTTCATCTACCAAGCCTGTTGGGGTCTATCCAATTCTATGCAAAAATATAGCCGCCCCCCAGTCAAAGTTTCTATTTCAATCAGATTCACTGGTTGCTTCTCTGAAATCTGTAACCATTGCACAGAAATGGCAAGAATGCATTCAAATTTGCAGAACGGCGTTATGGTTAGTCTCCCATCCCGGAGAGGTTATGTCAGCATCACTCGGGGGTTCACTGAAACCTACCATTTGACCTGGAGCACCTACATTCTTGCAGGCAACGGCCAGAATTCTCAGCATAAGATCCCATCAGCTCTGGCCCAGTCGTGATGTGGGCTGCATCCGCCCAGGAATTAAGTCTAACTCTCATACAGAGACAAAGTCCTTCCTCACCCCTTCATAAATGGTATCCTGGTTAGCAGGCATCCCGGGTCCAATGTCAGGGGAGTCAGTCCTGTCGAAGTAACCGTCATAGTATCCTTCCCCGTACTCAGTGACAGAGAAATCTTTATCAGGATCCTCTCCACCTTCACTTACTCTTCCTGTGGTCTGAGCAAATAATAATAATAATAACCATAATCACAATCATAATAGTAATAGTAGTAGTAACAATCCCCCAGTGAGAAACTATCTTGACATGGTTGTGGGGCTTGATGAGAGCTATACCAGAGGTTCAACCATGCTGGACAGGTCTCATCAAAGGAGTCAGACAAAGAGTGTCTCTCCCATAAAAAATACAGTGAGACGTAAATTTCAGAAAGCCAGAACAGCTTGGATGTCGCCTGGGTAAATGCTAGATGTTGGAATTCCTGGATATCTGGTGCAAAATGGGCCACAGGACTCAGGACTGTTAGATAAGCAGTCAGGGCCAGCAGCTGCAGAATTACTGGAAGAAAAGGTGTTTACCTGTCACAAATACACAGTGACTGAAAACAAAGAAATAATAATCTCAAATTGCAGATCAAGTCCAACAAGAAGATATTTGAAATGAATGCACCAGTTCTGGAAAGAACAACATCCAGAATCAGAAAATACAGAACAGAGGCTAGCAGATCAACATCAATTTATAGTACGAAATAAAGTATTCACAGAAGCACAATTGGAAGAACTGCAAAGGTTTACCTAGGGCAAAGAAATCAAAGTAACTCAGAATGTAGAGGCAAAACAAGGGGAGTTGGCAGTAGAAGAATCCAGCAGAGAAATACAACTGTTTTCATTTGGAAACCAGGCATCATCTCCTCTGCCTCAGAAATAACAAGGCCCTCTGACTAAATAAATAAAAGAACTGAAACAAAGAATAACTGGGCACTTAGAACAGCACAAAAACATCAGAATTAGGCTGCCTGCATTGAAGCTTGCTCCAAGAAACAACTAGCACAAGCACTAAAAGATGCAATACTGTAATATCAAGTATAAGCACCAACTCACTGCAAGAAACAAACCAACTAATGTACAGCACAGCTTCGGTGATAACTGAATACCCGGGATGCAAAATCAACAAAGAAGAAAAAAAGCCAAAAAAGTGCACCACAAAAATGGAAGATTAGACTGGAAAATAAGATCAGCAAGTTGAGATCAGATGCAAGCAAGCTAGAACAGATGAGAGAAAAGAAGCTGAAGAACACGAAAACCAAAGAATACCTAATCAAGAAATACCACTTAGAAACAAGGAAGATCAAGGAAGCACTTGAGTGACTAACATCTGGGAAAACTTACCTGATAATAAAAGATACAGCAAAAGGGGCAGCACCAGGAAATGCAGGCCAATTACTTGCTTACTAACAACTTTCAGATTGCTAACTGGTGTGGTAGCTGATGCAGTCCAACAACATCTAGTTGAAAACCATCTCTTTCCACCTGAGCAGAAAGGAAACCACCCTAATAGCAAAGGAACAAAAGATCAACTCCTAATTGACAAAATGATTTTGGAAAACTGCAAGAGAAGGAAGACCAACCCAAATGTAGCATGGATTGACTACAAAAAGGCATTTGATTCTCTGCCACATGACTGGATGATCAAGTGCCTAGAAATAACAGGAGTTAGTAGAAACATCAGAAACTTTGTGCAAAGATCGATGGCACGATGGAAGATAGTTACAGGTCAATGGTGAGAGACTGGGAGAGGTTACAAACAAGAGTGAATCAAGGAGATTCACTATCACTTCTAGTTGTTATTGCACTATTTCTTCTGTCAACAATATTGAATAACTCAGGCCATGGCTATCAAACATCAAAAACATCTACCAGGCTATCCCATTTCCTTTATATCAGGGGTGTCATACTGCCGGCTCATGGGCCGGATGTATCATAGCGAAACAGCACCCACCCCATTGCCAGCAATGGAAAAAAAGTCACGATACGTCACGACACATCACATGACATTGCAAGTTTGACACCCCTGCTTCATATGGATGATCTGAAGCTGCAAGGAAAAACTCCATCTGAAATAAAATCGCTGCTCAACACTGTCCATATATATAGCCAAGATATTGCAATGGAGTTTGGACAGGACAAATGTGCCACACTCACAATCAAACAAGAAAAAATAGTGAAAACTGAAGGAATCAAAATGCCCACAAAAATAACATTAATAGTCTGTATGAGGATGATTACTACAAATACCGGGGTATCCTTCAAGCTGACAACATCAAGCACACTGAAGTCAAGAAAAAGATTAGCGGTGAATATATCAAGAGAGTGAAAAAGATCTTAAAGTCCAAACTCAATGGAGGAAATACCACCAAGGCAATCAACACCTGGACAATTCCAGTCATTAAGTACACAGCTGGAATAGTGGATTGGACTCAAGCAGAACTAAAAGCAATGGATAGGAAGACCATAAAAATAATGACAATGAATCATGCCCTTCGTCCTCGCAGTGACATTGAGGGACTCTACCTATCAAGGCAAATAGGTGAGCATGGAATGTTGCAAGTACATCACATAGTTGAAGAAGAAAAATGGGCTTTGGAAGAATATCTGAAGGACAATGATGAAGATGCACTGAAGTTAGTATGTCAGGAAAGTTTACTGACTACTGGAGAGACCAAACTGGCCTACAAGAAAGACCAAATGCAGAACAGAACGGAAGCATGCGAAGACGAAGCACTACATGGCCAGTACATTAAAAAAAAAAAATAGCAGGGGAAGCAGATAATAACAAGACCAGGCAATGGCTAAGAGCAGGAAAGTTGAAGAAAGAGACCGAGGGACTAATTTTGGCTGCATAAGACCAGTGCATACAAAGCCAGAATTGAGAAGATAGCAACAGACAGTAAGTGCTACCTCTGCAAAGAAGCTGAAGAAATAGCGGACCACCTGGTAAGCTGCTTCAAGAAGATCGCCCTGACTGACTACAAGTACAAGCAGCGGCATGATAAAGTAGCAACAATGGTGCATTGGAAGATCTGCAAGAAATATTATTTGCCTAAGCAAGAATTGGTGGGACCATAAAATAGAGAAAGTCATAGAAAATGAAGAAGTTAAATTGCTCTGGGACTTTAGAATTCAAACAGGGACCTTCCGCATAACACCCCGGACTTAACAATTGTTGATAAGAAACACAAAAAAAATCTGGACAGTGGACGTGGCAGTGCCTGGAGACAGCAGAAGAGAAAAGAAAAAACTGGAAAAGATAACAGAATACAAGACCTACAAATAGAAATAGAACGACTGTGGCAAAGACAAACAAGGATAGTACCAACAGTAACTACCAACTATCAACAGTTTTGGGTGCAATCCCAAAACAACTGGAGCACAACTTGGGCACCCTTGGCCTTGAAAAATTCCCCGTCAGTTGCAAAAGGCAGTTTTACTGGAACAACTGTGATGAGATCTGTAGCACCATCAAACATCCAGATCTGCCTATCCCAGGTCCTTGGGAAGGACTCGATAGGTAAACAAAAATGCCAAATCCAGTCTGAATATCTGGCTGACTGTGTGATTAATCATCATCATCATTATCATAATAATAGTAGTAGTAGTAATAAGTAAAGATTAAACTCTGGCAATGGCTTACAACTGGAACATTAAAAAAAGAAAGTGAAGATTTGATTTTGGCTGCTCAAAAGCAACCTATTCAAACTAATTTACTTTCTTTCTTAATTTTATTGGCTGCCCATTTTATCACAGGGTAACTAATGCACTCAAGGTCAGAACCAAAAATCATCAAATGATTCAAAGTGCAAAGAAGCAGAAGAAACAATAGAAGAAAATTGCACAAACTGATTATAAACAACAACATAACAAAATGATTCACTGAAACATTTGTAAAAATTATCAATGCCACTAATGAAAAATTGAAGGGAACATATAGTAGTTGAAAATGAGCAGGTTAAAATGTTGTGGGATTTCCAAACAGATAAAATCTTGGCTGATAACACACCAGACTTAACACGGGTTGAAAAGAAGAAAGTGTGGATAATTGAAGTGACAGTACCAGGGAGAGTAGAACAGAAGGCAAAGAATCGGAGAAGATCACAAAGTATAAAGATCTGAAAAATGAAGCTGAAATATTATGGCATAAACTGGCTGTGGAAGTCCCAGGGGTTATCGGCACATTGGGTGCCATACCAAAAAAACAAGGATGGGATGGGATGGAATGAAGAGATGGAATGGGATAGGATAGGATAGGATAGGATAGAATAGAATAGAATAGAATAGAATAGAATAGAATAGAATAGAATAGAATAGAATAGAATAGAATAGAATAGAATAGGGACTAGGGACTTTGGAATAGAATAGAATAGAATAGAATAGAATAGAATAGAATAGAATAGAATAGAATAGAATAGAATAGAATAGAATAGAATAGAATAGAATAGAGACTAGGGACTAGGGACTAGGGACTAGGGAATAGAATAGAATAGAATAGAATAGAATAGAATAGAATAGAATAGAATAGAATAGAATAGAATAGAATAGAGACTAGGGACTAGGGAATAGAATAGAATAAGGAATAGAATAGAATAGAATAGAATAGAATAGAATAGAATAGAATAGAATAGAATCCTAGGGCTGGAAGAGACCTTGGAGGTCTTTTAGTCCAATCCCTTGCCCAAAAATGGCTGTCCAATCTTCTAGTGAAAATCTTTATATTTAATTATATATGTAATATCTCCAGTATATAAGGTAATAATGTAAGACAATGGTTCTCAGCTTGTGGTCTGCGGACCCCTGGGGAGCCGTGATGTCATCACAAGGGGTCCACAAAGGCTTGCAGAAATGTTAGGATCTAAACCTTGAGTTAATTTGGGGGTCCATGGCCATGGTCCATGGCTACAAAAGTTATTTAAAGGGGTACGTGATGAAGAAAAGGTTGAGAACCACTGATATATGGTATAATATAATATACCTTATATTTATTACCTGATAAATAATAACCCTTTCAAGTGTTGAACATTTTCTCAGTGTTGTTATTCACTGACTTCTCCTCCTCTAAGGAGAAAGACAGAAGGGGAACAGAAGTAAAAGGGAACTCCATTATAAAATATCTGGGCTCGTTTCTTTTATACTAACCAGAGCTGAGAAGCCTGCAATGACCAGGTTCATTTTTAAGCAATCTTTCACTGCACAAGTGAGCAATCTTTGACAGAACTTCAAAATATGTCAATAGGTCAAAAGACAATTCTCATAAAATGCCGGCCAGCCTGGTCACTGGCAGTTGACATCCAAGATACCCGAAGGGCTTCAGATTGAAGAGAAATAGTTCAACTCTTTTCAAGCCATTTAAACTAGCCACTCTCATAACCCGGAGCGCCTGTCTGCCTTCTGTCCGGCCCAGGGGGGGTCTCTCCTGTGTGCTCAGAAAGATCCCCTTTCCAGGAGGCCCTGCGAATTCTGCCTTGATGGGCAGAGAGCTCCCTGGGCTGGTCTCAGACTTCCTCTGGGGGGGGGGACTCTTCTTTGCTAACAGATCCCTTTGCAAGGCAGGGAGAACAGCTGGATTCCCAGAGCCTCGGCCTCGGCTGCTGTAGCCATTTCTCTGCCAAACACCTGTGCCTGAACAACGTCTTGGGCCTCCCCCTGAAGGCCACCAGGCAGAGCCCACCAACAGCCTGGAACCGTCCTGTGACTTAATCCAGTGGGGGCCCTGCACACTGGCAAGCTCACCCAATTGTGGCTTATTCCAGGAACCACAGGAAACACATTTTTAATTTGTGAGTGAACTACAGGCTGGAATGTAGGTTGCTTTTTTTTTTTGCATCCCACCCACATTGACTGTACCTATTTGGCTTGAGAAAGCCCAGATTGGGTTACGTCCTAATGGGGTCAGGTTGGGCTTTGTTTCACAGCCTGTTTCGCATGTTGCGGGCAACATAAAATGTCACTCCATGCTATACTAAGACGATTAAAGCTTTTCATATTAGGTGTGGCTTGCAGAGCATGCTATGGGACCCTAACCATTCAACAAACCAAGACTTGGGTGGCGCGCTAGGAAAGAATCCCAGTCAAGCTCAGAAGCTGATCATTTGCTTATGATGTTCCATGACACTTTGCGTGTTTTCCTTTGAGTCAGTCTAGACCAGTGGTTCTCAACCTGTGGGTCGGGACCCCATTTGGGGTCGAACGGCCATTTCATGGGGGTCGCCAAACAAGGCTGTCCGCCATTTTTTCCCCCTTTTCTTTGGCCACGCCCCTGGCACCCGGTGATGTATAAGTGGTTGGGGGTCACGACAACACGGGGAACTGTATTATGGGGTCGCGGCATTAGAAAGGTTGAGAACCACTGGTCTAGACTGCTGCGGACTCTACGGACAAACCTTACAAGGCATCAAGAGGGGTCTGTCACTGCCCTTTTCCTAGGACTGAGGAAGGCTGGCCCATGGCCAATCTATTTCTGTGCCTGGAGAGACTAGAACTCAGGTCTCATTTTTGCTCAAAGCCCTTTAAAACTGCTCCACCTGTTTGTTTCATTCGCTTGACCCGAATATATCCCGTAGAAGAAGCAGAACAACTTACATCCGTTTCATTGTAGGTGATGACCGTGCTGGTGGGAACTTCTGCCTCAATGCCCTCTTCTGGGAGCTTATCGAAATTGTCCAGGTCTTCATAGTTGAGGTCTTCGTAAGGGATTGGCGTGTAGTACTCGTCCGTAATGGGCCCGTAGTTGTATTCCTCCAACAGCAGTTCATCCTCTTCCTTGGGAATCTCCTCCTGGGTCTTCTCCACCACCGGTGGGGGGGTGGGCGGAGGGGTGGGGCTCTGCTTGAAAAAGGAGACAAGAGGCAGGTGGGCTGTCACAAACTCTGCCCAGGAAGCCTAGAGGCGCAGACAGGCGGGGACTATCATCCCCACAGCGTTCTGTGCTGCACAAACAGAATTCCCATTGACACAAAGACACACGTGGCTGGAGCTTCCCTGTTTGCATCCAAAGCCCCCACAGAGTGACCCAGTGGAGTAGAGCAATCCAGGAGAGAAACACCTTCAGACGTTAAGATTCGTTACTGTAATCTCAGAATAAGACTAGCATTCATGACTTGGTTTCCTCGTCTGGTCTACCTTGAAGCAACGACATCAACCTTGCAAGTCTGGAGGCGCTTCCCCCTTCCCTCCCAAGGGAGGACCTTGCCTGGATGGTTTTCAGATTATGGCTCAGCCCCGGACTCAGCTTTCTTTTATCTGACTAATGTCTTGGTCACAGCTCTTTCTCCTGTTTCTCAAAGGTAGTGTTGTGATTCCGTGCCAGCCTGTGCTCCCCACAGCTGAGTCGGAGGAATCTGAGGAGGAGGTGGAGGAGGCATTTGAAGGGCCATCAGAGGCAGAGGGAGGCTCTGAAGTACAGGACTCACAGTTTGATGCAGAGCCTGGGCCCTCCAGTCGTGTTTCTGATGAAGCTCAGCTGTGTGAGGAGCATGAGTCAGATTGGAAGAATCACAACAGATGGACTTGCTAATTGACGCACGCAGACGGCGTCAATTAGCAAGAGTAAGTCAACAGAGGTCAATGAGGCACCTCCAAAGTAAGAAGAAACGGCAAGGAGAGACACCGCCTTAGGTCTGCTAAATAAAGAGAGGAGGTGTGGGTGGTGCTGGTTGCTGAAGGCAACTGTTTGAAAACTGCGTCTTGGAGTCTTGGTCTGTGACTTCTCTTATGACTTCGCGTCTGCTTTTCATTGTGTTCTTTTGGACTTGAGTTTGCTGTATTTGACAGGTTTGTCAACAAAATTAAAAGAGGTTTTTGTTTTTGTTTGCAAGTCTCCAGCCTATTGTAATAGCAGGGGTTTTGTCCTTGTGAAGTTAACAAGGACGACAATAGGCTGGGATAGAACAGGCATTCCTTCTGCTCACTACAGCAACATTTCAGATCTCTGGAAAAATATTAATCTGCTTTGGATCTTCCTCCTTCCTTCTTGGCTTCCTCCTTAACTCAAGCCTTCCCTCCTAGGAGATGGAAGATCGGACTCAGAGGACAAGGCTTCCCCCTTGGCGGGACATCTATCTATGTTCGGAGGCTGAAGGGAACAGCAGAGAAGAGCCGTGTTAATCCGCAGAAGCCAAAAACTAAGGCGTCTACAGCACCTTTTCCAATTAGCACATTCATTAAAAGGCATAAGCTTTTGTGAGCTGCAGCTCACTTCGTCCGAAGCGATATCAAATACAGTTTCTTTTTTTCCAAAGCATCTACACTCCCCAGGTCAAGGGCTACCCACGGTGTCTTGAACTACTTGGAAGAAAGACTTTTAAATGGAATTATTTAACAGCCATCCCCCCCCCCCAGGTTTGTAGAATAAAATCCATGCCCATAAGGAAACTGGAAGTTAACAGAGATGACCCACTTGCCAACCCAATTGGGGCTCTTCCTGGACAAGAACAAAGCACCTCGCTTGGTCCCCAGAAGGAGGCCCTGGGTCAGCCTGTGTCGCCTTTCCACTGAACCCTTTGAGGCAAGCAAATGCAGGAAACGGGAGCACGGTGGACCTGATGGCTAGCAGGGTAAGGGAATGGGGTCTGGAAAGCCTGGCAAACAATTTGCAGCTCAACCTACATCTAGCATAATTAAACTAGAATTACTTTGAGTCTCTTTCTCAGGCTTCCTTCCTTCTTGGACTCTTTTCCTGCTTAATCCTCCATGGTTCCTGGAATTTGTTAGAGGCTCCATCCCACCTTCCTTTCCACTCAACCCACACAGACCCACTGGTCCACTTCACTCTGGCAGACGGTCCCACTCTCCCACTGTCCTTTACCTCAGTGGTTTCAGTCACTTCCCTGGCTGCTCCATCAGTTTCCACAGGTTGGACAGTGGTCGGGGTGGCTTTCCCTGTGTCATCGAGGTCCTCATAGTAGGGGTATTCATAATAGTAAGTTTCTCCTTCAACTTCCAAGTTCCCGGCCCCGTCTGGGTACTGTGAAACAAAGAAAGTGGTTGAAACGACAACAGGCACCCTTACAGGACATCATTATATTGTGGGATTTGCCCACAGGACCCGGAGAAGGAAGGCCGCTGGCTTGGCTGCGGTGGAGGGGAACCGGTTACCCCCACAGGGGACGGGTCTATCAAGAGTTGCTGGTCTTAGCCCAAATCCAACAAAAATGTAACTTTCATTGTAATAGTTATTCATGGAACCCCTGTGAATCCAAAGTCATCGCTCGCACAGGGTGCCCAGCACTTCTCTGTCAGTTTTGCTCTTCTGGGTTTTTCTCCTCCCAAACTATCTCCAAGGTCCATCTCAGCATCCCAATCAGGGCTCTTTGGTTTTGAATGCAGACGAAAACAATAATCAAAAGGGGACCCAACTATTTCTCTTTTCTTCTGCTGCATGTGCGAATGTAGGCAAAGAGGCTCACCCAGCTGGTAGACTTCGGAGCTGGAGGCTCTGGGTGGCTTCTTTGAAGTCCAAGGGAAAGTTACACAATGTTCAAGGCAGGGCCTTACTCATAAAGACAGCAGCAGTGATGATGACCATCACGACTGTTGCCCGTTAGAATGCAAGAAACGTCCACAGTAGAGTTGGGATTGGGATGGGGTCACTCAGAATTACCACTTAGAGCAAAACCACCAAAGCAACTTGGTGAGTGGCGTGGTGAGTAAGATGAGACCCCGTCTTGCTTTACAAGAGAGCCATTCCCATCCTTGCTTAAAGATGCACACTTGAAATGACCACTGCACATTACAGCCAGGATCACTGTGTAGGTTTTCAAAGGGAGGGGTGCAACCAAACTTCTCCACGGAAGTTCCAAGTGATGCTGGATCAGCTTGCATGATGCTGCTTTCATTCTACACCTGGACATTAACTAGCCTGTCTTGTATATATCAAGAGCGATCAAAGGTCACATTAGGCGGGTGCTTTTCCACGGGGCAAAGGTCTTTTATCCGCTCATGTTATCTGTGAATGCCTCACCACTCCAAGTCTTCAGTTCTTTTGTAGAAGGGCGTAAGTGTCTTTGGGAAGCTCGGCTTGGACAATATCTTGCATGATTTTTTTTTTCATTTATTGGTGAACTGCATTCCTGGTTCATAATGTTATCATCGGTATGCTTTAAAAAATATTTTTTTTAAAACTCCTTTAAGGGACACAATCCATGCATATTTAAACAAGATTGTGTTAAACACACAACAGAGACTGACCCTTTTCTGTCTCCCTTTCTAACCCTCTGTCTCTGCATGGGTGTTTCTCCACCAGAGGCATATTAGGGTCCTCTCTGCACACCTCCGCTGTGTGCCTTTTGGCTCTGCCCCCCCTTTCTAAAGGGGCCTGGGGAACTCTGCCCTGCCCAACCCAGCCCTTGCCCGTGGGTGACAGGGAGAGACCCCCCGGCTGCTGCTCAGGCCCCCAGCCCCTTCCCCACTCACGTATTCATCAGGGTTTGGGTCCTGCGAATGAGGCACATCCGGCACCGCTGTGTCGCAGTCTGGGCTGTAGTGTTCACAGTAGTCATAGGCGGCTTGATGATCTGAGACGATGAGCAGCTGCTGGATGTCGCCCTGCAGGGAAGAGGCAGACCACAATGACGGAAGCCCCACCTGATGGGCAGCCCTCTTCCCTGGAACACTCGGAGGCCCCCTCCCTTAAAAGAGGAACCCCACCCACCACTTTTCTGAATGTGTTGAATGGGAAGAGAGCAGAATTCCCACACATCTGGAATTTCAGGAAATGTCAAGGGAGCACTCACAAAATGCCCGCCATACTGTGCAACCTCTGCTGTCCATTACAGTTCTTTGTGTCTATGAAAACTGGAGCTATTCTCCACCTCACACACACTTATGCACCCCTGCCCTTTCAATTTTTAAATCTTTTTCAATTTCAAAATTCTTTTTTCAGCTTTTTTATAGAATTTTTTTTAATTTTTCAGTTTCTTTTTTCAACGAAACATTTGAAAAAACAGTTTACATATTTTAAATTTTTATACATTTTTGAATTCTTAATGATCTAAGAGGAAAACAATAAATTACGAAAAGAGACAGACACTTAAAACAGGGGAGATAGGGGGCTTCTGGTTTGTGATCGCCGCGCCGGCAGATGTGCGAAGCGATCGCTCCCTTTGCCGTTCGGTTTTCTCCCATCGGGGGACCCTGAAAAGGGTCGAAAGTCGCCCTGGAGGGGCAACGAGCGTGAAGAGGACCTCCGACTGATTGCGGAGGGGTGGCAGCCCTTCTGGATGATCTAGAGCAGCTCTTCTAACTGACAGAGAAAAGATCAGCCATTTAACGTGGCCCATCATTAATGCTGTTTCCAGCCGAGGCCAAATTTACAACTAAGCACTTGAAAGCACTGTGGAGGAACTGGGTAAGATCTTACCTTCTTTCTACCCCAAGTATTTTTTCCTGTAAAAAGCTTTTTGAAACTGCTTCCCCCTGTGAGGAGAGAGGGAAAGGAACGTTTTTCTCCCACCCTCTAAAATGGCGGCATTTGATTACGTAGGGGAAATGAAGCCCTGAAAAATATAATTAATTGGACTTACATGTTTCTTATATTTGACGACCCAAAAAATTCCTACTTTCAGCTATCTTATCTACTTGCGGAAAAATAGAGAGAAAACGAACCTAAATTGGATAAAAGTTTAGCCCCTCTGAAAAGGATTTCAAATGCTATCGTGGACATCTTGTGGTGCAACCTGGTACAGCAAGTGAATATCCCTGCTAAAAGAGACCTGTTTACAACCTAGATCTGTCCTTGGTATTATCTAAAGATAAAAAGCTGAAACAGCTGGGAGGTGAAATTGGCTTTTAAGAACTGTGGAGGTGAACATTTATTGACTCTTGCTTAAAAATTAGCCTCCACTAAAGGACTATCTATAACTATTTTAGAAATGGAGGGGGACCATCAACAAACTTCGCTTGACTATAAACTTATACTTGAAAAAATTCTTGAAGCTACTGAGATAATTAAATCCAGACTGAAAGATGAAGGTGCTAGCTTGAACCTACAAACTGAAACCCAGATTCCAACTAAAGAACTTACAACTCAGAAAACAACAGAAATGGAAGAAAGCAACACTAAGACAGAGGACTTTAAGGAACAACAACAATATATTGAACACTCTGACAACCAAATCCTGTTTGTAACTAAAGAACCCACAATCCAAAAAGTAACAGAAACGGAAGAAACTAATACCAAAACAGAGGATGCTAAAGATCACTATATTGAAAACCTAGATAACCAAACAATAACTATAAAATTGGATATGACCTTTTACTTAAACCAAAAGAAACCTGAGGAGAAAGACCAGACCGAACTGAAGATAAAGACACCAGAGCAAACACTGAGACTTGAACTACCAGGGCAACAAATTAATGATTACAAATGGATTAGTTCTTTTGGAAAATTGATGATTAGATGGTCTCCTTTGATTCAAGTAACATGTGCCAGAATGAAGGGAGAACTATCTGATAACTTAAAGGCACTGGTATGGAAACCTGGTTGGCAGAAAAAGAAAGCTAGAGCTAGGTTTAAAAAATGGGGCCTTTTGACTTACTAGAGAGAGCCTAAAGCAGACATGTCAAACACAAGGCCCGGGGCCTGGATGCGGCCCACGAAGTGGTTTCATGCGGCCCGTGAAGCCATTCTGGAAACAGTGAGGGAACGGCCCCCGCTACCTTGACCTTGGCCCAGGCCGGCCGGGAGCCAATGTACAATTTTGTGGTGGCCATCTATGCTGAAACGCATTCAGTCTTAGCTCCACAAGGCCATCTGGAAACAGCAAGGAACCAGCCCCCTGCCGTGTTGGCCTTGCCCCGTTTGGGAGGTGTCACCCTTTGTGAGGAATGAAGAAATGCACCATTGCCTGGAAGTGGTCAGCAAATGGCCCTCACCTACTTCACATATCAGACTTGATGGACTCCGGGGGAGGGGTTTTGGCAGGCAGCGGGGCGCTCTCCTCACAGCTTCTGCCCCAGAGATGAATTCCTTGTGTGTCTACTCTCTTCTATTCATCTCTATGATTGTCTGTTCTTGCAAACTCTCCCTCTGTTCACCGTGTCTATGCGTTGCTTTGCACCATGTTCTTTAAAACTTTTGCATCTCTCTGCTTCAGGATCTGAACTCCAAATGACCGTAACTTCTCTTCCTCTTGGCTCACTCACTCTCCTTTCATGTGTTGTGACTTCATCCTTTTCGTTCTGCCTGTATGGCCAAGCTGGAGATCCAGATGCAAGGCAAGAAAAATTGGCTGTCCCGTCCCCCCCCCCACCAGGCACGAGGGCTGGGAGGCAGGGTGAGTTCTGCCAGCTGATGTTGTTTGCATTGGAAGTTGGAATTTGTTTTTGGCGACCTCATACACTTATTGTGTTATGGCTCCGGCTAATGAAACATTATTGAATATTGAATATTCTTGCTTTGACATATTGTTTGGACGGTTGCTCTAATTGTTGCTTTTAACTTGTACACTGCCCAGAGTCATTGCTGTGAGATGGATGGCTGGATCGATTGTACAAACAAGCAAAGCAAAACAAAGCAAAAGCACCAGAATGGATTTCTTTTGTATAGAGTCTACTACCAAGACCCTGATAAAGGCTTCTTTAGGGATTTGACTGAGAGAGTGTCCCAGTTGCCTTATCATCACCCGTTACCATCACTTCCAAAGCCAAGACGTTGGCCAACCTTCTCCTCTGCAACAGTTCCTTCAGCTCATCATAAGGCCATTAATGATAAACAGTCTCTCTCTCTCTCTCTCTCTCTCTCTCTCTCTCTCTCTCTCTCTCTCTCTCTCTCTCTTTCCTCCCTCCCTCCCTCTCTCCCAACTGAACCAACTAATATTAGAAGTTTGTTCCCATCCCAACACTCTTCCTATACAGGCAAGCAGGCTTTCTACCACATGCTGAAATAAGTAATTTCTCTTCCTTTAAGTGTATGCCAAATATTTCAAAACAAAACAGAAAGCAGTTGCCTGATTTCCCCCCAGAATTGTCTGAACTGTGATTAAAAAATTAGACAATCCACAACAGTGGCCGCCGGGAAGCACCATTTCCTGGGCCAGTGTTGGAGACTGGCAAGAAAGTTAAGGAGTTAGGAGCACAAGTGCTGTTTTCATCTGTTCTTGCAAAAAAAGGTAACATTCAATGAATGAGCAAAGCGTTTTTGAAATGAACCACTGGCTTAAGCAGGGGTGTCAAACTGCCGGCCTACAGGCTGGTTCCATCATATTGAAGCTGCATCCACCCCATTGCTGGCAATGCAAAAAGAGTCGCGATACGTCTCGACACGTCACATGATGTGGCGAGTTTGACACCCGTGGGCTTAAGGATTGGTGCCGCCGTGATAACTTCAGATTCCTAGACCACACTCCACACTACCTACACAAAGGGCTTCTGGCAGGGGATGGGCTGCACCTCACAAGAACTAGGAAGAATGTATTTGGAGAGTTTAATTAGTTTATAATATAAAATACAAAACTATGAAAGCAAATAGGAGGAAAAAAGGGAGGAAAAGGGGAAAGAAGAAGTGGAGAAAAGAAAAAAAGGTGTTGACTTCCCACTCCCTCTGGTGCAGTAGAATAAAACAGCAACATCAAACCACAACTTTTTACTTTTATATAATAGTATAAACCAGCTATTTCTATAACAACCAATCTATCTAATCACTAAAACCCCAAATCAAAGTTTTATATTTTTCCACTTCAAGCACAAAGTCCAGAAGCGGTTTCCAAGTAGAAATAAAAGTACTTATGTTTTTTTCTTTGATCAAAGCAGTCATTTTAGCCATCTCTGCTAATGCCATCAACTTTTGCAGTCATTCGTCCATTGTGGCGATCAAAATGTCCTTCCATTTTTGTGCATAAAGTAGTCTTGCTACCGTCCACATATATAACATCAAAGTTCCAAATTTTCCCCCCAAGTTTTTTTCCATTATACTCAAAAGAAAATTTCTGGTTTTATCTTTATATTCACTTTAAGAGTTTTCTGTATTAGAATATGAATCCTATTCCAATATTTCTTTGTTTTTACACATGTCCACCATAAATGATAAAAGATCTTTCTACATTTACATTTCCAACTTTCAACTGAAATACCTTTATACATTTTGGATAACTTGCCTGGTGTTAAATAGCAGCATTACATTATCTTATAGAAATTTTCTTTTAAATTGTAATTTGATATAAATTTTAAACCTTTTGTCCACATATTCTCTCATTGTTAAAGCAGAACATTATATCCAAAATTCCTTGCCCATTGAATCATACAATGCTTTACATCAGTGTTTCTCAACCTTGACAATTTTAAGGCATGTGGACTTCCACTCCCAGAATTCCACAGCCAGCATTGCCTTAAAATTGTCAAGGTTGAGAAACACTGCTTTACATGTTCACTTTCCAAATTCAATTTCAGTAACATTTTATTGACCTTAGCAATAAAATGTTCATCACTACCACACAGTAAGATTTCCAATTCATTTTTAACAAAGTCAAATCCTTGACTCTTTTTATATAATTTAAATCTTTCTTTCAATTGTAAATAAATAAACCAATGGCAGACATGTCCTTCTGATTCTAACTCTTCCTTAGACTTGATAGTAGGATCACCAAAATTAAAAGATATTATTTTATCATAAGTCCACCAATCTGGCCTCTCT